CGTTTGTCCAATTGGACTGGCTGAATTTGGCTTATTGTGATCTCGTGGACATTCAGGGAAGGTTTAATAAGTGGGAAACATAAATAATATGTAAAGAACTATACCAAACACGTCAGTTGAATTTACAAAAAAAAAAAACTGTTCCTAGCTGGGATGTTGATGTCTTTTGTATATCTAGAAATAAAAAATTGTCTCGTGGTTGTCATATATTTAATTTGTGTTCTATAGCTGTGGTATGAGGTCCCATCTCTTTAGTTTAAATTTTTTTAATTAAGTTCTGACACTAAACCATACATATAGTTACATACAGTTTACACTGTACACTATAGTGTATACGGTGTATACTAATAGTGATTTACGGCCTACCATTGCAATCGTATATAACGCATATTCGAAATGATTCATAGCAAACAATTTCTTCAATAAACAAGCAGCGGGTCAGAACAATAGACTTATACTGTTATTAATCTTTAGATATCTTACTTTGATAAGTAAACAACCATTAACGTGTCATTCCATTACTTACACCACCAAAATACTTGCTCGTTAATGAAAGTGTCAAAGTATGATCAATAACAAATAATTACCAGATACAAGTTAGTGATTAAGTTTGTTGAGAAGGGTTAACTCTCCCTTCAAAAAGTGCCCGCCTTGTTATTAGCAAGTGGTTTATCTTTGTCGATATTTGGTAATTACTTCTATTTAAGATACGATAACTTTGAATAAAGATTATTAATTTATTTAATAATAATAATTTATTTATTGCAAGAATCTGGTACAAAAATGTGTAAGGTGGTACAATCGCAAGTTCGCATATTCCAACACAATGGCGCCACACACAATGGCGCGCAAATTTGTCTTGAGGAATTTTACATTTTACACTATTAGTCAAAGTCAATTCTTATATAATTTGTACCGTACACATCATATCATACTTTATTAAATTTATATCAACTACACTGTCTCACGCAGATAATCATTTATTGAATAGTAAATTTTTTTCAAAAGTAATACACCAAGTCGGTTTTTAAAGACTCTTGACGGAAGATCTTTTAATTCTTTTGGTAATTTATTGTAAACCTTAATTGCCATACAAAAGGTGTTTTTCCGAAACAGTTTCAGATTGATTTTTGGCACAGCCAATTTCTCCCCATGTCTACTTCTTACTTCGACTTCTACATTCAACTTAAAAATATGTATTGAATTCCTTTTCTTTTCTATGTGGTGTTGAGTGCTGGAATATTAATAAACGAATTTTTGTGATTCATATTTTTACGTTTTATTTTTAATTGTAGTGTGCAGTGGCTACCGGATGACCAGTATGGAGGCCAGCTGCAACTGGAAGCTAGAATCGGACGGAAAGTGGCCCAGGACAGGCAGTGCGGAAGTTTCTAGTATCGGAGCCCAAAGCCTCGTCAGAGAGATAGCTGAGAGAGTGAATGTTTTGATAACGATGCTTCGTTGTTTTTTTAAAGACTTTTAGATTAATACTATTATAGAATTTTATTTTATTGTACACACACATCTTTATATATAAAAATGTTATGTTGGTTTGTGTACGATTCAAAAACTCAAAAAGTTCTGCACCGATCGAGCTGAAGTTTTAGCATGATATGTAATCCGCATTTTTTTATTATTTTTTCCACAATTGCCAAATTACACTTATATGAAATGTATTCTTTGCTTTGTTTCTCATTTCTCAACCCTTCAACCACAATGTGTCACAGCGAAGCGTGGTACAGCTAGTCTTAATTAGCTTCTTAGCTATAATTATGTATAAACTCTCAACAAATTAAAAGTAAAGTTACGTGTGAACTAAAAAACCTAATATATAAATTCAAGCAAACTAATCTGCTTAATCCGAGAGACCGTCTTTAAGTAAAACTGAATAAGACATGAAAAATTCAAACTTATCCCTTTCCCAGACATAAACCATTCACCGTTGTCTTTATTTACACTCTTAGATAGTTTTTATCGTGGAGACGAATCTGGATTTGCTGAGATTTATGGCTGTAACTTTATTTAATAATTACTTCGAAATCGCATATTTGATACCATGGCAAGATAAAACTAACTTTATATGTACATTAAGGTATATATATTAAAAAAGTGTAAAGGTTACTACATAGTCAATGACTACCTGGAAGATGAAAACGCTTGGCAATAGTTGTAATTATATTCTTATAATTTGATTTGTGTGTAATGGTGAATGTGGTAAATTACAGAACAGATTTTTATATTTTTTTTTTACTTATGTAACCTTAATGACGTTGTGGTTTATGACATTTTCCTTTGAGTAATTGTAATGTAGAGGGAGGGTAAAACTTGCTGAGTTTCTTGCCCGTTCTTCTCAGAACAAGGCCTCCTGGTAGTTTTGCGAACGGATGGCGTAGTCTTGCTCTTTCGCGAATTTTGTAAACGTTTTTGACATTCATAAGCATGCGCTAAGACGCATCCAAATTGAATAAACGTATTTTGATTTTGATTTTTTTTCATTTTGATTTGATTATTTAGACTATCCTATGCAGGAGACTTCTATACAAGTATGTACGCAAACACGGCTGCTCTCAACATTCCATAGCTCACATAAGTCCATATTATCTATACGTACGTAGCTAAAATCACAATCTCATTAAGTCCTGTCAAATCTAGCTTTATACAGAAAAAAACGTTGAATAGTTCTTGATACTAGGTGGAACCAGCTGCCAACTGAAGTATTTACGAACCAATTCGTCTTAGGGTCCGCACCAATTCTTTAAAAGCCGACAACGCACTTGCGAGCTTTCAGGTATGATTGAACCTCAGATCCATCAGAGCATTTTGCCCGTTTGCCTGTTATATATACCTTTGTATATATGTTTCTTTAAACTAAATTTTACATTTCTAGAAATTAACCTAGGAGAGAAATAGAGACTGTAAGTACTCGTAGTGTTAGTGGACACTTTTTTTTATATAATAGGGGGGCAAACGAGCTTGCGGGACGACCAAAAAGGGCAGTCTTCGCAGCCCATAGACACTCATTTTGAGTGGGTGCGTTGCCGGCCTTTGAGGGAGGAGTACACTCGCTTTTTAACTTTCTCTTTGGACACTTTCTTATGTTAAATATTTTTTTTAGTACATTAGGTTAGACTTCAATTACTTATTAGTCTTAAGTCAGGCTATATTGTAATGTTAAATTGTGTCACTATGCAGAGTAAATTTATAAGAAGAAAAAAAGGAGACAAATAAAATACATATAATTTATACACATTTATTTATTTATTACACAATATACGTATATATTACATTTAATAAACAATTATATTCTGACCAAATCATTAGAGTTTTACTCCTGATAGTTTGGCACTGTTGATTAATATTTACATTGGTTTATTACATTTAAAAGAGATGGAAAATAACTAGACAAAAGGAAGAAATTAGGAAATTTTAGTACAATATATATTCAAAAGCTGTTCGATATATAGATAGAAAAAAAACTATTTTTATGGCAATATAGAAAGACGACAAATTTCAATAACATTATGGCCTATAGTATACTTAAATGACTTTGTATTTTATTAATATGTTTTTAAGTTTTATTTCTCTGTAGATATTATGGTGGTATTTAAGTTTATCAGCTAGATACATTCTTATATACTAACAACTACATGCATGATAATAATAGTGGGTTTTGCCGTACAAAACGTTGACAATATGTGAAAAATATTAATTATATTACATATAACAATTCCCTGTATTTTGATTTTTATACTACAGTGATATTTCTAATTACATACAAATGTTAAGTTCGTAGCGTTCTACGAATTCGTAGCAACGAGAGCGTAGCAGCGCGTAGCAGCGCGTAGTTCAGGCATTTCGTAGCGAAGAAAAAAAAATTGATTACATTTGTAGCATGTTCTAGAAGCAACATAGGTACAACTTTTTATATTTTTAATTGAATATTTTTTATTGTTAATTAAATAATACATACCATGATTATTTGTACAAATATATTACACAAATGGATAATATTTTGAGATAATGCTACGTGGCTTTTAAAATTACCAGCAATATTCTTTAAAAAATAAAATAACCTAACATTTATACAAATAAGTTTGGATTGCCTAGTTATGAGACCATAAATTTGATAACAATTATAATTTGTTTACGACTTACGTAGTCTCAATTTGCCATAATAAAGTATAATTTTCGTTAATTTTATGTGATTTATTTCTCTATTATAATGTATGGTTATTTCAGAAATGTACAGTTTAACTTTTTATTTTTATATAAAATTTAACAAATAGTTTTTAACGGTAATTACATTAGTAAACATACATGAATATATGTGTAAAATGTGTAGATTAAACGTAGGGTGACAACAACGTCGAGGATCAGAAACGAGCATCAACAAGTGAATAAAAATCAAATTAAATGTGTGAAAATTAATAAATTGTAAATTACTCTTTAATCTTTGGTAGCACGTAGTTATCCACAACACAGAGAAGCCCTAGTCTGTGGACAAACGTGTGTACGAAAAGCAAGTATATGTTTTTGTTTTCTGCAAAAAAAAATCGTTTAGTATAAAGCATACATTTAAATTATGTTTTATGAATGTGTTTAATATAATTAAATAAAGAAGCAATGTGACCAGTGTACTTAGAAAGCGTCTACAAGCTATCTAAAATATTTGAATTGTCTGTAAAATACATACATTCGGTTGGTAACGTCACTTTTAAAATCGGGTTTCAAATAAGATATATTTGTTATACAATACTTTTGATACACAAACATGGGTGCTGATTTATTATGTAATATTGAAATGTTACAGACATTTGCAAAGGTTTGTAGAGCTAGATACTTTCGTAACATTTAATCGGCAGATATCAGACATAAAATTACGTAGCTAAATTGCAAAGAAAATCTAATAATACAATAAACTCTGTTCTACAAGTTAATAAGTTAATATCAAAATCTTTCATAATTACTATGGATATCATGTGGAACAAATTAATCTACCTTTAGAGAAAGGTGTCGTCCCGTCGGCGTAATGTCTGATGACAGTTGTTGTTAATTTGTATTTGATCGGGCAAGTTAAGCCTAACTTTGCGGGAATTGCTGGACTGGAGACGCTGGTTTGGATATTTAATGCTGTCGTCCTTTACCTGTTAAAAATATTGTTTTATATTTATAGATAGAGATAGAAATACATATTGCTCAGACATTAAATGTTAATTTAGAAGCATTTATTATATATGTGTGCAATCACCATTTACTAAAAACTTCCTTAGGACCCAACATGTCTTGGGGGTAAAAACGGCAAAGTGTGTTAACGTATGCGAAGTCTACCCCTAAGGAATCGTAGTAATGTAGTGGGTGTGTATTCTAATAGAAATATAAAAAATATATATGTCAGAGATTAGGTTATAATAGAACACGGTGTAATTTGTTTGATTACAATGGCAACACCACGCAATATCATGGACATCTTACTGGTTGTAAAGTGTCAATGTGTCAATTGTTAAAGTCAAGCTGTCAGTAGTGCGTAGAATCGGTCGTGAAGTGCTAGAGTTGCTTTCCGATCGGCGCCTGCGCCGGACGTAGGCACTGACTGTGTTTAAAATATTAAGTAATAATGTTGGACGACGGTAGTGATACCAACTTTGTAATTATTAATCGCGTTGAATCTTCGACATATACAATTATTCACTTTAATTTTTTCTCTTAGGGTCCGTTCAAGTATTACGTAAACATATTTACTGCAATATATCCCCCCACCCTTCCCCTTCTCAGCAAAAGTAAGCAACGCTCTTAAATATAATAGTACATAAACGTATTAATTTTTTGTAGGAATCCTCGAAAATGCATTTCGTTTTTAAGCATAGACAATGTGTAGACGTGATCACCGAATAAGAAAATCAAATACCCTACCCTATAGTGCTTGCGTAATACCTGAACGGCCCATTACACGTTTATTATAAACATTACTGAATTATGAACCTATTCTTATATATTTTTCTTGTAAAATATAACAATTATTATCTCTACACATTAGGATATTTATGAATGTTTGGTAATAATACTTGATTATTCAAAGTAAGGGAAACAGTCTACACTTACGAAACTTTGAAAGTAAGAAAAAATATTTCTAAAAAGAAATGGTCACCCGTTTCGTTTGAATACATTTTCTCACACATACGATTGTGATAAGAATACATGAATGTTTTGCTTTAGAATATTTTGTCAGAGGCAGAGATTTTTTATAAATTAAGTATGTCACGACGGAAGACATACCATTTATTAAGGCTCACAAAAGGCCAGAGTGTTTTATTCTATGTTTTTCATAAAAGCTTTTTCAACATACATATTTTTCTATATACGCAATTAGCATTTGCCCTTTCAAGAAATACAGCGTGAGGAAACCATAATGCATGTGTAAGGGAAATATTCAAAGCCGGGACTTAAACCAAACTATGATATGATATTCTATATATCAACATAGATTAGCGCGACTCGAATCTGAATTTTCTCGTGTAAAAGAAAAGATGGTCGAGTGCTTTATAGAAATAATGGTTACAGGAAGTAAGACAGTTATCTGATATGACACATTTACATCCGTTGGATTATATTTTTTACATAATATAAAGCACGTTACCGCATCTTAAGCAGTAAATAGGATAATGGGCAATAAAAATAACTGCTTCATAAATATGTAATGAGTTCGCTTCTACAAATATTCAAATTACGCTTGACGTCGGGATAATCCCAAGGAACAAGCTTGTGACATGGAAACGTTTGGTAAACATTCCAATTTATCAAATCGCTTTCTACACTTTATGTTACAGTATTGGTGATATTTGGAGTGCGGAAACCGAGCCCTGTGTAAAAATTAATATCGTGTTTCTAGGAAGACATTAAGAAATTATTGAATTGATTTAGTAATACTTGTACAAGTAAAAAAACCAATGGCGCTACAACCATCCAGATTTGGGTCTAAGATTTGTTTTTGTGTATTTGTGCCTCACGCCGTCGACTTCTTTGGGTCTAAGGCATGCCGGATTCCTCACGATGTTTTCCTTTACCGTACGAGCGAGTTAAGCAGACAGATAGTCCAGTGGCCGGGAATCGAACCATAAACCTCATTAGCCCAATACTGCTATTTATACAAGCAATGCGGAGCAAAAAGTACATAAAAGCATTTACCCGTATAGTAAGATCGTGTCTTGTGCGCCGGTGGGATGACGTCAGCAACTCGGTGTGCGCACGCGACTCATTTCCAGCCGGGCTATCTCCGCGAGCCATCAAACACCACACCCACTTGTAAGGTGGAATGTTTCTATGAAAAAAAATTAATATAAATTATAATATATACAAATAATAATAGGCTATTATTTACGCACACAAATAAAGTTAAATCTTTTCGTCAGTACAACGCACTCGAAGAATAATTTCTTTCTAAATGCTTTTTACAAGTAAATTTTCATTAGTACGTATAATAATTATATTAGTACTAGAAGAAACTTATATATGAATTTCTAATTCAAAACTAAACAAAATTACTTATAAAACAACTGTACTCGTAATATAGCACTTTATAATTTGAAACTTAATACAAAGTTAAACCATTAATTTCCATTCATTAACCCGAATTTTCAATAACAGTAAGAAACTTTTCTTTATCGGCAAAAATATTTCATGGACTTTCGGGTAATGAAACCATAAAACCGTTCACAACAATTAACAATAAATCATTTAAATCGGAGATAGGGGAAGGAATTGATTAAGAAGTAAGATTAATTAATATTTTAAAAATACAAAAATATGTCTATATTAATATAATTAGAATTGTTTATTAGTTAAACCAGGAACGGTCTATTTTGGTAAAGAAGACTTCAGTCGATCAGTCAGTGACCTATGATTTCAAGGTTATTTTTTTGAAGTTATACTTCTTTAGGCGCGTTATGAAAAATTTATGAGAGAGAAATTTTACGATGCGCGCACACCGTGACACAAAATTATCAGTATGGGCGCCGAGCGTGCGCGAGCGAGATGGGAATAAGACAATCTACAAGTAAAAAGAAATAGAATATGCGTGACGTTAGCAGCTATGCCAAGAATTTTGAATGACCATAATGACATTTACCTTTTAAACAAATAAAGGAGTTTTAATTATTTTTTCAAAGAAATTTAGCAATGCTTTTTCGCAAAGACCTATTGTTACTTAGTTAAAAGGTTATGAAACATACCTAGTTATTAAATTGAATTAGTAATATAATAAAATAATAAATAATAATTATTATTAATATTAATTAATAATTGAATAATATACTAAATATTAAATATTGTTAAATTATTAACGCTAAATATTTATTATTTTAAAAAAAATAAAGAAAGCCAAAGAAGTATAACTTCTTACGCGCGTACATAAGTACACGCACCATTTTTACACGCTTTATATTAGCTTCACCTGTATGTATGTATGTATGTATGTAACCGACTTCTTCGGACTCGATTTTGACCCACATTAAACGGACAGATTTAATTCAAACTTTGTACACTTATAAAGAATCAGCGACAATATAATAATTTCATAGGTTTATCTCGAAAAAACAATGAAATTTTTTTTAAGTCCACAAAGCAATACGATTAAATTGAGACGACACGTATTGCTTCTAGGACTAAAAAGTGGAAAATAAATATAGTTTAAAAAAACTAAAAAACACGCTTTTAAAGCACATCAAACTAAAAAGTGAATAAGCGTGGGTTGCTCGATAGACGAAAAATATGGCACAGAGCGTGCCACGCTTTTTCACAATACCAGTATTTTTTGTTCATTACCATTTTCAGCCTAAATTAGGAATTATTTTTCACTTTTTAGTTTGATGTGCTTTAAAAGCGTGTTTTTTTGTTTTTTTAAACTATATTTATTTTTTGTTAAATGTGTCAGAGCAAGGGCATTACGCCTATATTTCTATTATATGCTTCTACATAATATGGTATTCCTAGGTTTTGGAGTTTTTAATGCTACTTCAATTAAACAATTACTTGAAATATACATAGTGTTACGAAGACGGGTCGACTACAATGTTTCTACATTTTTCCACTACTTAGAGAACTTTTCAGCAGGCTGAAATGTGATTTCTGACCGTTTCAGGGAAGGGTCAATCACATATTAGAAAATCGTAATTTACATAATGTTACCCTAGTTTTCAGGAGCCTGAAACCTTTTTTCAGGCTGTTTCAGAACACGTGTAGTCGAATGGTACACTTTTCAGGAAACCCGTTTTCAGGCGTTTTCAGGCCTGGTTATACCCCTTTGATGAAGGAATGTTCTAGAACGAATTTTCTAGGTGTGGGACAAGGACGGAATGATACGCGAGAGAGAGGGAAGATCGGAACCTTCTCGAAGCTAGACCGAGCACTCTAGAACGCCGTACGACAAGGACGGAGCAATGTGCGAAAGGGATAGCTAGTACGCACGTTCTAGAATTGTGCGATCGCTACTCAGTTGCGCTGCCGCCTAGAGAGTTCTCGAACATCGCTCCCAGGGATATAAAAGCGAGCCGAAACGCGACCGATCAGTTCCGCCTTCCCGCGCGAGCTGGTTCGCGCGGAGTCAGATGAATCTCAGTGACACAATTACAATTGTTATAACATCAACATCCAAGACAAAAGGGCTGGACCCCTCCCGTCGGCGTCGCGGAGCGCGCTGAGGTTTCGTCCGCTGGTCTGCCTCGCTGGGCTTCCCCGGGTAACCGAGGGTCTCACCCGGTGTGGTACGACCGCGCCCACGCGCGCCCGTTGCCGCCGCGGGGGGGCGCCACCAGCCCCACCGACATGAGACAAGAGGCGCTGCGCGAGCGAAGACGCTCCGCAGCGCAAACGAGGTTCAGGGCCGCTCCAGGCCCGCCCCAACGACCATCCCGCCGTTGAGCGGGATGCGTATCCCGCAACCCCCCGCAAGCCCATGGGCGTAACGGGGTTCCCAGCGCCACTTAAAGGTGATTGCGCGGAAGATAGCAGAACGGACCGATCAGTTCAGTTTTGAATGCGGTACCAAGCGATAAACACCGGAGTGACAAAGTGCGAATATAGTGAAGAAAAGTGAATACAAGTACTGTGTGAAGTGCGTGTTATTAGAGTAATTAGTGACAGTATTTTGTGTGTTTATTTAGTGAATTTTTGTGCGTAATTTCCAGTTTTTAGTGTTAACAAATTCCTCGTAGATTTAATTGAAAATAAACCCTTGAAGAGATTTACGGCGTTTCTATCCGATCCCCTAGCTCGTAACAATAGCTTAAAAATTATTTGATTTGTCAATAAATAATTTAACATTATAAGATTTATTTTTTATCATCAATACAAGTAATTCTTTTTTTTTCTTGTAATCGGAGCCAAACGGGGAGAAGGCTTACCTGCTGTTAAGTGATACCACCATCCACGGACACTCACACTGCCAGAATGCTCGCAAGTGCGTTGCTGGCCTTTTTAGAATTGGTACGGTCTTTACTTGAAGGACCCTAACTCGAATTGGTTCGGTAATACTGCAAAAACTGCCTTAAGAAACGGTCAGTTGTGGAACGACGGACGTACAGGTGATACGGATGGTATTCTGCCTTGACGTCCGATGATGAAACTCAGCTACAGGTAAACTAAATTAAGAAAACAATATATCTCTTACCTTAGACTAAGAAATATCCGATTAGAAAATATGAAATAGATGACAGGGTTCGCAGCTGAATTGAGTGGTGCTAGGCTCTGGATTAACGAAGCGATTGCGATATTCCCTTGTGTATCTGGGACGTATCCGTACACTTGCAACAGGTCGAAAATCATGTACGGTGACCAGCATAGTACGAATACTGAAAATAAATAAACATTTAAAGCTTACTTTATACTCATATTGTGCCCCACAAGACAGTGTATTGATTATTTCTCTGACCGATTTTTAAACCTTTTACGAAAATAAAAACAAATATTGCTTCGCTTAGGAATGGAACTCATTTCTAAAGAATTGTATCAGAAGTTAATTTTCATTGTCGTTTTTAAAATATTGAATAATGTTTCGATGATTTACAAATTTGTTGTAAAAATGAAAAATTAGAAGTTAAATTTAACTGCGGATTTCAATTTTGTAGTTTATTTTTTACTCGACTATAGTGTATTATATTTAAATCCTCTTAAAAATGAGATCACTTATCAGGGACAGAGCCACCAACTGCACTACGCGTTTGTATGTATTTCTTATAATATTCAATTTTATATGTAATACGTTTCTTAAATATTTATAAACGGTTTTAATCCAAGTGAATTTTTGATGTAATTGGCCGTCGCGATTCTCTAGGATATTGTGACTAAAGAAACTATTTAATTTTATAGACCGGTAAAAAAATTAAAAATTAATTATTGATTTATTTATAAATTAAGGGGTAATTGGCGGGGTAATTGGGCCTTATTTTTTTAACCAAGGTGAGACAGTCACTGCTCCGGTGTATTGCCGTATGATCGACGAGTTTCTGTTACCGCAATTGCAGCAGTATTCAGGGTACAACAACCGAACACAATTTCAACAGGACGGTGCCACTCCGCACACAGCTAGGGTGTCGATGGAAAGGTTAAGGACAGTTTTTCCGAATAAACTGATCAGCAAGTACGGAGACATTCCATGGCCGCCTCGGTCACCAGACCTCACACCTTGCGATTTTTTTTTATGGGGATACCTCAAATCAAAGGTCTACAACAACAATCCCCGGACAATTCAGGCCCTACAGGAAAACATTCGCCATGAAATTCAAAGCATTACTCCAGCGCTTTGCCGTCGCGTAATCGCAAATGTAAGGGTCCGACTGCAAGAGTGCATTGAAAAAAACGGCCATCATTTGAATGATATCGTTTTTAAAAAATAAAATCCGCATTGTTATTCTGCATTTAATTGAAATAAAAATAAATAAAAACGATGTAGTTTTTTTATATTAAATTCTAAAGTTGAAAATATTCCGCTGGACACCCTTTATAATCTTACAGCTGCACATATTATTAAGAAAACACTTAATATACAAATCCAAAACAGATTACATTGAAAGCATTAAACTACTCTGAAATACCAAGATGTTTTAGATCAAATTTTGTGTTCACTATTGTATTTTTGTCATTTAAAAGAAAAGTATTCAAGGGTTAAATGAAAAGTCGAGTCACGATTGAAATTGTGAATTTATAAGATTCTTTCGCGGTACACCCAGCGTTATGTGAGTACGTGAGTATAGTGACTTCAGGCACACTTCGACGTTTTTAAGACATAAAAGGGTTCAATATATCGGAGTACCAAGACATACAGTCCAAATGTTATTAAAGTCTTAGAAGTGACCGCCAGTGGGCTTAAAATGTAATGCCTAGTTTAAACCAAAGACACTAACTATGATTTCTAAGTGTATAATTTTGTTGCTAACAGCGTTTGTTCAATAGCATGGTCATTCCGATTCATCAACATCATTTATAATTGAAATCATGATTTTATCAGTGAAACTATGTATATGAGATTAGAGAAAAAAGGTTACGTTTAGTCTAGAAGAGCAATTTTTCTATGTAAATTAATTATAATTGTTATCTATATCACTGTATTCCAAGATATACTAGAAGATTAATCAAACATATTAAATAACATACTCAGATATGTGTTGATCAATATACATACATTTTTGTATTTTTTAGTAGTATCACAAAATTATTGTAATGTACAGGCATTAACCGAATACCGTATTAAGTGCCAAATACAACTAAAGAGACCATTTGTTAAGAATCAATAAATTTTATGGCTCAATTAATTTGACGTGTTTCATAGTAAAACCGTAAGAATAACAATTTTGTCCACTTAGACATAATGGAAGCGATCGTAAAGGCTTTATGGCTGAGCTTTAGCTTTTCATGTTTATTTTCATAGCTTTTATAAGTTTTCAAAATAGGCGATAATATTATTTTGTCAAGCGATTAAGATATCGTATAATGGATAAAAGTTTAAGCGTCTAAACTGAAAAATTGTTTTTGGCACTGCGATAGTGACTTTGACTTTTGAGACTTTAATATTTGGAAGAAAGCTTTGTCTCTTTAGGTAATGTCGTTTTACTATCGTTATTATAGGTAAGGATAAAAAGGCTTGCCTTTCAATAAAATAATAAAAACACCAGGTTTAGTTTTACATGGTGAGAACAACACAAGTTTTTGAGTATTTACAAATAAATCTTTATTTATTATCTGCATTATCTTATGGAATCAGGGACCATACTTTTTAAATTTGATTTAGTTTTCTATTATCACTTTGTAGATTAAGAAAATTGTAGTTAGGTTTTAATAAACGATATAATACTCGTACAATTAAATTAGACATATCATATTGTATAACTTTACTGGTTTATCTACGTAAGCGATTACAGTTAATTTTAATTGAAATAAAATATGAGTAACATCATTCACAAGCTGTTGATGAATAATAAGTAACAAATTATAACATCAATTATATTTTAAAAAACTCTATGTATAACAAACTACACAAAAACTTATAATTTACAGGGCCCCATTGAGTGACTACATCTAAAATTTTTATTATTAGACACCATACTATCTTGTAAGCCCTGGGGCGTTTTTTACAGGCCTTTGTGTCTGACACGTTAATTGCCGAACCAAAGACACACCAGTTTCCTGACGATGATTTCCTTCACTATGCTGGCGTTAAGTACGAGAACATAGATGCGTCATTGATGCTTAGGGGTTCCAACGCACAACCACAGGTATGAGGTCTACTTTTTGAAGTGAAACTTCTTTAGCGTCTAAAACGCATGAGGGTAAAATTTTTACGGATGAAACGCTGAATAATATTAGCGTCACGAAGATATGCAGCGTTTTTGTCAAAGAAAAGGGAGAGAGCGATTGAGAGAAAGTGAGAAAGGGCGAACCTAGCAATATACGGAAATATACGAAATTCTATGTTTAAAATTAAAATTTCGTAAAGAGAAAGTGTTCCACAAATATAGGTATACAAATACATGTTGTGATCATATAATGGTACATGATAATCTATTGCGGCTTTTAGCTTAGTAATAATTAATGTACAAAGAAGTTTCACTTCTGACATATGTACTTTGTACGCACGCATTTTTTTTAATACATAAATAAACGAATTTCTGTGGCGTCATATCTATACAATAAAAACAAAATATAATAACGAATAATTGATGTCAGCGAATTCCGAACGGTGAGGTCGTATATAAGTTGACTATCAATAAATCTACACAAAGGGCCCTTTGAGAAAATGAAGCGAATACGAATAGTGGGGAGTTATTTGACGTTTCCATGATTTTGTTTTTCTCGTCAACTTTCTAGACGCTTATTAATTTTCCATTTATATTGGTTAGAATTTCTTTAACATTGATGAATGCTTTTAGTGTGATGAATTTGACTTTTGATTTCACAGAGTAAAATTTAAAGTTTTTCACAAATTGAAAAAAGAGATGACCTTTTCTTTCGTTCGTCGAATTTGTGTTCGAAAGTCGTCATATGATTGAATGAAGTCACAAAAGAATTTAGAATTGATAGATTAAATTTTGTTCACTGACTTGGTTAAAAATATGAAGACAATAATGATGGTAATAAACCTCAGTTTTAAATATTATAGTACTTATACTGAAATAAATTTTTATTTACACAAATACAGTATTTACAATTTTATAACCTATAAAGTAATAATAAAAATAATTAAAAATAAATAAAATGAAAATCAAAACAAATTTAAAAAGTTTGGTCCCTGTGGCAGTGTACCTTTAACGCTGGCAGCATTTCCTAGCTGTATTGCGAGACTTATTCGTTGAGCCAGGACAGGAAAAATGATATTTCCTTTATAAAATTTTGATTCTTGCTACGAATTCATTTGGTTATCACATAGAGTATTCATAATTAATAATTACTAGAAATATTAATAGTAAAAACTTCGAACCAATTTTTGACGTAAATACTACTGAGAAACTAAAATCTTATCGAGTAATCTAATTTCTAACTAACTAGCTCAGTTATAAAGCTTTGTTATGATAAGTATGAAAATTCAACACGTTACCTTACGCACGCAAATATGACATTTTAATATATTGAATGTGTTTATGAATTAATAATATTTTCTATAACGGTAACTAACTAAGGTCATGGCGCCGCGCTTAACGTAATTTGGTTTCGGTTAACGCTATTTTTTTTTCTGTTGGTGGGCTAAACACTTGACTTACCGACATATTCAATACATAGAACGGGTATTAAATAAAACACTTACCGAAAACTATAACGAAGGTCATTTTAACGGTTTTTATCTTGGCTTTTGGAATGATACCACGACTGCTCGCACGTCTGCTGTCCAGATCATCACTATCTGAAATACAAATTTTATTAACATAAAAATTATTGCATTTTCTTAATATATACTATCAAATAAGAAATCAATGGTGACACAATCCCTGGAATTTGATATCAGATTTCTCGATATTTTTTTTCTTAATAGGATTATATCAGCCTTCTGTAGCTGTTGTTAGCCACGTTGCATTCCTCAAGAGGTCTTTCTTGGCAATATGAGCGAGTGTCAGAGGTGGTCAGAGAAAGAAAAGTCTATTGGTGCACGGTGCAAGCCGTGATTCGGACGTACGACCTTAAGCCTCTTGGCCACTGCTCTTAACAAGGGTAAATATAAAAAAAATGCTTTATGAAGTCAAGTTTACGATTTCAACATTTGTTTGTTGTAAATGCTTTTAACATTGTAGTACACAAAACACCTAATGTGAATGTTGATAATTGTAAATCGAGAATAATATATAAAATTGTTGAATTTTATAATTGTTTCTACCTCAAATGGAACAGGAAATGGGCGAGGCACATGGTAAGATGAACAATGAAGTGGAGCAGGGAGCAGGAAAGTATTAAACTGGTACCCAAGGTACAATAAACGCAAAATAGAAGGACAATTTAGAATGTATACCAGATTAAGGAAACAGCAGGTGTTATGGCAGGGAGTGGTACAGTGCAGACAGAAATGGCGGGATTTGAAGGAGACTTTTGCTAAAAAAGGATGTACAGATTAAGATGGTAGAAATATAAATGTATTTAAATTTAAAGTACCTGTAATAAAAGACTTTTATTATTATATTTTTTTATCTCAAAAATAAATGTTTGATATATTTCTAACACGGTTTTTGTTTCATATATTGTAATGTGTATATTAACGTATTTGTACACTTGAAAAATGTACAATTATAATAAGATATTATAACCGAAGCCTATTGAAATTCAATCCCGCCATATGACAGATATTGGTAATAAAATCCTTTGAGAGTAAAGGAATTCAATAAGATGATTGGTAAAGAAAAATGATATTTCCTTTAAAAATTGTGATTCTTATTACGAATTCATTTGGTAATCACGTAGAGTATTCATTAGAATTTTATTATCACGTTGAATTGTGATGAAATATTCATTTTAAATTATGTTTGTATGAAAATATATACAATGTATAAAAACGTATATGTGTTATATATCAAACTGTTAACGCTTTTACAATATCATACTTACCTTAATCGCTCAGTGCTTGCACATGATTAACATGGAGTATGTATTTGGAAGACGCGTTCGATTCCGGACGACAAATGTTTGTGGTTGAATAGCATAAAAAGACTTGGCAAAAAATATACGTTACTTGAACAAAGTCAATAGACAAGTTAGACTTGAGAGAAAAATATGCCAGGTTGAAATAACATAATAATACTCGTATTTTATAGAAGGTAACTAGAAAACTTGCCAATAATAGAATATATTTTAATACAGCTATGTAACCTGTGGCTTGAAGAAAGCAACAAATATTCAAACAAATGGTCACAGAAATAAACAACTTTTTAATTCAATACATATTTGTTGTGAGCATTTTCAATTACGAAACACGATACTCTTGCCTCAACAAATACAAAACGAATCCATATAATAAACATGTGAACGAATATGAAATTATAAGACTTTGATGCTTTTGAATTTCATTTTAAATTACCTTTTGCGTTTCAGAGTACAAATATTATTATATAAGCCAAAAAACTGACGGAGCAAACGTTGTCTTGCCATAACCCTACCAAAATTTATCTTTAAATGTGGGTCAATTAAGGGTATCTTGGTATTTTGTAATGCAAAATCCAAAAAAAAAATTGTCAAAAAAATATAAAACAAAATTGGATATTTTTATACACCTGAGTAATTCCCTATTCATGTCAACTCCTCTGAAACGGCTTGAACATTTTCATTAAAACGATTTTTATATATGATAGGTAGCTGTATTACTACCAAGGTGTGTAAAAATTCAGTTACCTATCAAATAAAAAAACATCGTCATATTTTTCGGTTCAATCGGGTCTTTATATCTAAATATTCATAGATATTTAGCTCAGAGCTTAACAACATACATATTTATTAAAATAAAATAAATCAGTCTTAATATATTTTTATAGCTTAGTGCTCATTTGTTTTTTCATCAAATAGTGTGCGCTGAAATAAAAAACTTACTGGGCTACATAATATATATGTATGTCTTTGTAAAAGGTAACGAATAATAAATAATTACATATATATAAACTGGGTAACATAATATATATTTATACACAAATTTTCTAATCTAGCCAGAAACCAGGACAGACCGCTATGTAGCAGTTTGTAGCTTATCAGATGGGCGTGCGACTCTTGACGATGTTCGAAATTCAGTTGTGGATCAAAGTATTTATATAGGACCATTAGCATTCTTACTGAGAAAAAAGTTAGTGAGAAAATCAGCAAGTATAAGATTGAAAATGTGTCTGATCACATACTTATTAGTTTTATTTATTAAAGCACCATCATGCTACAAGCTCTCTTATCCAAAATGCATGACAAATTTTTGACAAAAATTTTAGAAAAAATATTTATTTTAAACGTTACCTACTCGGCAATAAAAATAAAAATTATAAAAAACCGGAGAGCCACATAGGTTGCTACATGATTTTCAAAAACAAAAGAACTTGGAGCCACCAAAAATAGAATAGACAAACTGCTTAGCAAAGACATTACAATCTTCTCACATTACCATTAATTTAGCGATCGTTTTCGCCCTAATTTACCGAAAGATAGAGAATCAAGTTTTTCTTCGACATTTGTACTACATATTATTGCTTTTATATTTATATCTCAGTTATTAATCTTAGTATAATATTTAATAATCGTATAAAAATACACAAAAATAATGTATGTAGAACTATTAAACAAGGAAAAACCTAAAAATGGATTAAAAGGAGTAGGTGGTAGAAGTAGTGTATCCATAGCAGTAGTCTATCTTCTATACCATTTGGAGCCAGAATTTACTAAATACGAAAATGAGCAGATAATATTATCGCTCTAGACCACTGCTGCTTCACGACAACGCTAGACCACTCACTGCTCAACAGACTGCTACCAAATCAGAGGAGCTTCAATTGGAATGTCTAAGACATTCACCGCACTCCCCGGACCTCGCTCCAACAAATTACCTTTTTTTTTTCGAAATAACTTTCGGATAAGCAAGGTAAAAAGTTCAACTCTGAAGGGGCGTTCGAAACCGCCTTCAGAGATTTTATTGATTCCCGTCCAAATGGTTTTTTAGTAAAGGGATCAATGAACAACCTAGAACATAGCATAGATAACAATGGTACAAACTTTGATTAATTAAATATTTAAAAAACAGGGAGGAACAAATAGAAGATTACTATTTGTTCCTCCCATACAAAACGCTAATTTCATATGTAAGGACCTAATATAAATCAAATAGTTCTTTATAGGATTTCATAGCGATGGCATTTTTTACATAACTAGACGTTTCAAGCCTTTCAGCAATGATTTAGAGACTGTCACAATAAGGTGAAAGGTAACTATTTGATGATTAGAGTCTTTTGCAATTGTTCCATATTTACCTACGACATTTATTGCCACGAAGTTGGTGTTTGTAATATTCTACTGGACTTTTAACAAATTATATATTAATTATGTACTCTTTAAATCATCATTAGTTATCATCTTAGGGCTTATAACCATAACATGGGTATTATATTCAATATCAAAATCTGTTTAAATAAAATGGCTGGCCTAGATGTCGTTGGAAGGGCACTGTCGAGAGGGACTACCGCGAGCTCCAAGTTGCCGATTGGCAAGCGGCTTCGCAATATAATCTAAGGTGGTGTTCTCTTGTCTTGGAGACTCACTTTGTGTGATTGTCCCAGTGGAGTAGTACTAGTAGTTTAAACGTCATAAAGGCAGTTCTCAACACGTATCCCAATCACGATATCCACGTTAAGGCAGTTTTTGCCGCGCACCACCACTATGTGGAACCAACTGCCCACCGAAGTATTTCGGAATCAATTCGACTTAGGGACTAAAGACTTCAAGAAAAGAGCGTGCGAATTCGTACAAGGCCGGCAACGCTCTCGCGAGCCCTCTGGCATTAAGAGTGTCCATGGACGTCGTTTCGTTTAGATTTAGTTGGTATATTTCTAGTGTTACATGTAATTTCATGTATTTCTTGTACCTTACCCTCAGTAGATGTGTCTTTTACTTTTCCATAATAGGGTTGCCTGGAAGAAATCGCTTCTTGAATGAAGTTGTTGCCTAATAACTTTTTTTTTATAGAACAGGGGGGCTCACCTGATGTTAAGTCACCGCCGCCCATGGACACTCTCAATGCCAGAGGGCTCGCAAGTGCGTTGCCGGCCTTTTCATAATTGGTACGCTCTTTTCTTGAACTTATGTAACTTATTTTTTATATGTATATTTAATTTAAAGCAACGAAGTGTAAAAAATAAACATTATATGTAGTACTTACATTGGCGTGTAGCAGTTCTTTTACCAAGCACACGACGGCTTTTTTGTCGTATCGTAACGACGATAACGCCGTAACATGCCGATATTATAAGCGCCGGCGCAACAAACAGTGACATGAAGACACTAGTCATCCATATCCGCCATTGTGTTTGGTTGATGCCGGACCAACATTGTAGCGTGCCTGAAAGAAACATTTTATTAATAAAGATAATTTTAAATGATTAATTGAATTCATGTCTTAAAATTACCATTATAATGTATGCATATTGTTATTGCTTCTATGAAAAGTGCATTTGATAGCCGTTTATAAATCTATATGTACGAATGATACGTGAATGACAAGTAAAGTATGAAATTTGAATTCAAAAATTTTACACCACCAAATTTTACAATACCAAACAGTCCGAAGTGCGTAGCCTTCTATATTCTTTTATATAATCTCATTCGGTAATATTCTAATTATGAAATGAAATACAGACTTTCTTTACGAAAATTAAAAAAATAAATTAAAGCATTATTCTCCTAACAAAACAATGCTTTAAAACAATTTAATTATTAAAGTACAATGTGTCCCGACCAAGGAGGTTTCAATTCAATTTAAGTACACATTATCTGAGGTGAGCGCTATTTCCGAGCCAATAGATAAATACAGACTTCTAATAAATAATTTGTTTGTTTTTATATTGCATTTTATTTAATGTAGCTACCCATAGCCATGAGATTAAATAAAGTAGTGTATGCAGCTGCATATAATTAGATATTAAAACAATCGTGTAATCTTATTTTGAAACAAAAAACTACACTCATGTTTTAATACCCTCTATTATATGACAGTTGCATAAACTACTTTTATAGTCTTCTACGTCTTTCAACGTAATGTATATTATATGTTTAATTGCTAAAAACATTATCACATTGTTCTAAATTAATATTATTTAAAGCGTCGAGGGCAACTGAATTATCAACTATACGCTTATTTTTTAAATTAAATGTAAGTTTAAATCTAACAACTCTTTTCAACAAAAAAACGGGCACCTAAGGAAAATTACGTTCTAAGGACAATTTCAGTCAATTAAATGATGATTAATTTTAATTGTATGAAGTTTTCTGTATACTTATAAGTGTAAATTTATAGACGAGTAATTGCGTATTTTTTTTTTCCACTCCAAACATTACATTTATTTTAATTAACTGAAATAGACCTTAGGAGGCAAATGGCAGGCTCACCTGATGTTAAGTGATACCGCCGCCCATTGTCACGCACATTGCCAGATGGCTCGCAAGTGCGTTGCCAGCCTTTTAAGAATTGGTATATATAATATGTATAAGTAAATAGAAACTACTTGTGCTAATCCATCAACTCTATACAATATTACGTACAATTGCTATTCTGGTTCAGAATATTTTCATAAAACAGAAAGAATGGGGATTCATGCCAAATCTTTTAAAAATTTGGCATAGAAACTTTGGAATTACTGGACAAGTGTCTGTTAAAGAAGTAGGTACCGCGTGGAATATGATTTCCACGTACACGGGAACGAAGAACGACTCCATTAGGAGGATAGAACATAAATATGACACATTAATTTTAATAGCATTTAGTTATGTAACATGAGAAAATAATTAGGCTTTACGTGGCTTAACTGAGAAATACTGAAGTTCCATTCTGTGTTGGTTTTGGTGATAAATTTCAATAAAAGGGGTACATTTGGGCATTACAATACCTCGTAGATGATAAATGTCTGCATAACGTTTAGAATATGTAGTTCTTGGAAGTATGGTTTTTAATTCAAATACAAAAGTCAACCGCGTGTTTTCACTCAAAACTTTTAGCTTCCACGCATGTTGTATGTAAATTATTTGAATCTATTTAGAATACCATGATGATTCACGTCGATACTCGATATAAAAAGGTAATTAGAAAAAAGTTATGCGCCATATTTTTTTTCTTTATGTTTTTAATAATGGATAATCTAATATAGAAAATTATCGTGTCACAATGTTCGTTCCCATACTCCTCCGAAACGGATCGACTGATTCTTATGAATTTTTTTTATGCATACTCAGTAAGTCTGAGAATCGGCTACTATCTATCTTTCAAACCCCAAAGTGATAAACAATTTTTTTATTTTTTTTAGACAAAATTTTTTATTTTTATTTTTTTATGATATACAAAAATACATACAACCCTTAATTATCAACCCCTATTTTTTATTATAGTGGAAAGTTATTTTTATTGAACTAAAAAAAATGTTTTCCAGAAATAATATACATGGAAAACAACGTTCGCCAGGTCAGCTTTAATAATAGATAAAAGTAGATAATTCAAACTTTCCGTAACCCATAAAAATATATTTTTATTCAAACGATACTTCACAGGGATTATCAATATCGAATTTCAACACGAACGAACATGCAAGAAATCCTTTGATATTAGGAAAAATATTCAGTAATAATAGACGTTATTCAATCAACTGTAAACGAGAATTTTACCCACGGATATTTAGATACCTGTTCGTCTGAATATTATTTTTATTTGTGTCTCTCAAAAGATAAGGTTTTAGACATAAACGTGGTGTTGGATTGTCATTGGTCAACACAAACCTTTTTCTTAAATTAATTTTAAAACAAAATTTGCCTTACTATTTTTTCTTAGTATAACAAACGGATAGTAGGCTCCTCTGATGCTAAGTGATATTGCCGATGGACACTCATATTGCCAGACGGCTCGTTAGTGCGTTGCCGGCCTTTTACGAATTGGTACGCTCTTTAATATAGGAATGTTTCCTTTGACTGAAATTAGCTATTCCTATTGTTTCTACTCAACAATTTAGTGGCGCAACAACTCTAAATAGGTCTGGGCCTCAGATTTCATCTGTTTCTTTGAACATTTTTATTTCATAGACAGATATCACCTGTTTGTCTTTCTGTGTCATAGATGTCATAGATTTTTGGGTTCTAGACATGCCAGTTTCCTCACGATGTTTGACTTCACCATAGCAACACTAGAAACTGGCCTGAGAATTCCATTGGTTCGAACACACGTCCATAGGGATGACCGATGAGTGTCACACAAGGCTTATCAATTAAAACACATCTGTACTGTACAGTTTACCTTGTATATCAGCTTCGTCGAACAGTATAAGCATTGGTATACAAAATAAAAAACTAAGAAGCCAAGCGCCGCAAATCAAGGCTCTCGCACGACGCCCTGTGAAAGTGAAAAATAAATTATTCACATATTTTTAAAATACGCCAATATGTTACATCGGACATATAAATATAACTTCGTTGCGGCGTGTATTTTAAGATGTATTTGTATATTGAGTGGGCTTGAATAGTGAAAGTAATGGCAAAGAACTATCTTCTCACTGAATGTTTTCCATTATTCATTAAGAAGATCGTGAGTCACATTGATACATTGAACTTTTAGAAACTGCAACGAATAAACATACAAATATATATTTAAATAAAAGTTAAGAATATCATATTTACCGTTTTAAAATAATGAACGATATCGCTTGACTTGGTTTAATAACGCTCGATTCAGTTCTATTTTCAAATATGGAATCTTAATGTAGAGTACTTATTTATTTATTTATTGAAGTTCATCACATCATAGATAATGCATGTATATGTTACAAGTTACAACCTATCTTTTCTAAAATACTCGTATATGACAATTATGGTAATCATAAATGTTACAAATAATAAAAGAAAAATACTAGTATTGAGATATTAATAAGTAAAATTCTTATTGCTAAGCAAAAAAGTACTTACAACTTCCTGTGAAGTTCATGGGATGCGTGATAGCATCACATCGGTCAACGCTTAGCGCGACCAGTACATACGTTGATGAATACGTTACTACACCCTGAAACAATACTTACATTTAACTTTTATATAAATAAAACAGTGGCACTACATACTGTTTAGGTCTGGGGCTCAGAGTTCTGTATCATGATAATTTGGCAATATAATAGGCAAGTAGGTGATCAGCCTCCTGTGCCTGACACACGCCGTCGACTTTTTGGATCTCCGATCCAAGCAATGCAAGCCGGTTTTCCGATGTTTTCCTTCACTGTTCGAGTGAATGTTAAATGCGCACATAGAAAGTCACAGCCGGGGATCGAACCTACGAGCTCAGGCATAAGGGTCGTACGGTGAAGCCACTAGGCTAACACTCCTCTATATACAATGTACCAAGTTTTTACAAATGGTATTTATAAAAACTTACTCTCAATACCGGAAAAAATTGCAGAATTTTTAAGCAATTTTAAGTCCAATAAATCCACGTAACGTTATGATTAAATTAATATTACAAGTAAGAAAGATTAAAAAAAATTAAAATCAAAAATATTACACCGATTCCAAAATTTCATACGAAAATGTATGAAACTATCCCTGAATAAAATAAGTTATATTCATTTCCAATATAAAAGAGAACAAACGGGTTTGGCCAATAACAGTTTGGCAATTAAATTGGTATACATTGCTCAATAAACAGCCGATTCAATGAAATAAATCAATTGCAGATTTCAGTACAGAGCAATGGTGACTTAATTTATATCTTGGCACGGCTGGACGTCGCTTAATGTTTCAGTATAATTGTTTGTTGTAACAATATGTTGTCAATTACAGTTTGGATTTTTAATCAAAGAAATAATTTTCTTTTACGGACAGAAAATAAAAATTTCCTTTCCATCTCGACGTTTTTAAGGCCCTTTCAGGCGCGAACCACCTCTTTGTGGAACCAACTGCCAGTAGAAGTATTTCCAGACCGATACGACTTAGGGGCCTTCAGGAAAAGAGCGTACCATTCCCTGAAAGATCGGCAACACAACCGCCAGCCCCTAATGCAGGTGTCCATGGGCACACACATTATCAAAATTCAAAGTGACACATCCTTTATTCAAAGGAGCTTCCTGTTCCGTAAAAAATATTTATGTACTATTGTGCGCAATAGGAAGGAACACATCTTTATTAGGTCCAATATGTTACACCGGACATACTAATCTATAAAAATAGACAATGATTAAAAGCTTAAAATAACCTACCTGTAAGTATTTCATTAATTTACACGCTATGGAGCCACCGAACCACGAAATTGTTACCCGTTGTATTAAATCGGGCAAAACACTGATAAGGCCCACCCATAGATCTGAAACAAATGTTTTAGTCACAAAAGTTCTAAAAAAGTTTTAGTTCGTTACGGCATTTATTAAAAACTCTTGAGCATCACTTTAGGCATTTGATCTAAGATATCTATCATATATATCATTGGTTTGTTGTAACGAACACGTATTTGAGCTCAAGAATTATTATCTGTACTGTTGCCAACATGCTAAACCATTCGGTCGGTCCTTACAACTCGCCCAAGATGGAAAAGAAATTAGAAATGTATCATACAAAGTTCTTAAGCATTGGTTAGCATATAAATAAAATAAAATAAATCAGTAGCGCTACAACCTCTTTAGGTCTGGGCCTCAGGATTCTGAATCTGTTTCATGATTATTTTTAAATCTAATTGGCAAGTAGGTGATCAGCCTCCAGTGCCTGTCACACGCCGTTGACTTTTTGGGTCTAAGACTTGTTGGTTTCCTCACGATGTTTTCCTTAACCGTTCGAGCGATAGTTAAATGCGCATATAGATCGAAAGTCAATTGGTGCACGACCGGGGATCGAACCTGTCGTAGGTTGTCAGGGATTGGAGTCGCACGTCTAACCCACTAGGCCGACACTGCTCATATAGCATATTTATCTTTAAAAAAACCAGTTGCGCGAATTTTTAAAGCTGGACCTGATATATCTGAATCTGTTTCATTATCATTTGTTTTTATTCAAGGTAGTGAAAAGGACCCATAATCGACATTTAAATGTGTAAAAGTATTCTATACATTAATGTACAAACTGAAAGGCAACTCAGTTGATTCACGATATCAAAAACCAAACTTACTTGAATAACCCTGAAATGTATCAAATAAGATCAAAGATTAATTTAATTAGTTTCTTTCAGTGTATCACTAACGCGTAACCTTTGCGCACTCAAGAATTATCGAAGCGTATGGCATGCATTAATTGGCACATATTGGCACGTGTTAGAAGGTACTTGAAAGTGAAATCCAATTTTAGATTTAACTAAACAAATATAGTTTCGCAATGATCATTCTTAACTAAACAAATATATTCTGGATTCGTTGTATTACTTTGTATATTAGTTCCTCGTTGGTGTAGTTGTTGCCTTGTTTAACTAACAAACTAACGAATTAAAACAAATAGCGTTTTTTCGAACGAAAAGTTATACATACAATCCATATGAAGATGGCTATTTTGTATATGTGTATGCGACAAGCAGGCAGTGAGCAAAGCATGATCTTGCAATATACCACGTTTAATAATTCTGTCCTTCAAGCCACGCGACTTATGCAATAACAAAGTTCGAAATTAAGATATGTACCTCAAAAATATAGTCTGAATTCAAAACGATTTCGAGAACAATAATAATAATTTCTTTAATTCAGATGATATCAATATGTAGTTATAGTTAGAGTTCAAAAATTCAGTCTTAGTTGCTATGTTAGTATATCTTTACTTCTCTTTATAGGGTTTTTAGCTTTTTCACGATATTATTCTTAATTCTAAAATCTTATTAAAGTTTATAAGCTAATATAATTTCAGAGATTAATTGTTACTGTATCCCAAGAAGCTAAGACAGTTAACTAATGTTGCAAATGATTTATTGCATGCCGACAGAGTTTTAAAGATGTATAGTCTATTAAGGCTAATTACTCGTAAATTACATTACTCATGTTCTATATATCTGTCTCTATAGAACAAGTCTATTTCTTTTACACTAAATAAATGATTCAATAGTATAAGTGTAATTAACTGAGTTAGGGGACAGCTGTATGTAATTATTCTTTGTGTAGCTAAAGTATTTATGAATAAAATAGTTTACTTTAAGTCTGAATTTAAATTGTTATGATGATATTTATTTTAGCATTTAGGAGCATTTTAATCCTGAAATCTAAAATACTAGTCCAATTAGACAGTTCAACATATATATACCTACATATGATTTATGATATCATGTTAATAATACGTATTTGAATTAAGATTTTTTTAATTACATGATAATAACCAAGATTGCTGATAAGCTGAAGAGCTAAGAAGTAAACTTGGTGTGTCAATCAATTTTCTTAGTTTTATTAAAATGTTTAGTAATGCAAATATACAAACCAGCTATAGCCAAATTCATGATAAAGAAGTTCATCCGACTTTTCCTGGTCTTTGTGAGGAGAAGAGCAAGGATAACTGTCGCGTTGCCAGCGACGATTGCCACCAAAAGTACCCATAGAACTGCAAGTTGCGCTGTCTAAAATAAAAATAAAAATACTTGTTAAATGCGTTCAGGGATATAAGGAATTAAATATGACTTTGCTAATATATATTAGAATGTTTAATGTAAATTTAAAATTAAATTACGAATAGCGATCGCAACACCGCTGCATGTAATGCTGCATTAAAGGGACACTGCCACAGGGACCAAACTATTTAGACGTTTTTAGTGTTCTATTTATGTATGTCGAATTATTATTACCTTCAAACATTCTAATTAGAAATAAATGGACATATTGAAATCATTTATGAATTCGTATAGTAGGTATTAATTAGGGAAATAAAATATCTTCAAGTCAAGTCCTTTTTTCGAAATGACATTAAGGTGATGGTAATACCTAAGTTCGGTTCTGTACTTCGTGTGCAAAGAATGTCTATGGAGAAATATGACTGCTGCGACTAATAAACTGCCCGGTCAATTATAAAGTTGAACGGTAACCAACTTTCTAATACTTTTAAACTTAAATTTAGTTTCGAAATGAATTAATAATATTATCGGGCATCAAGTTATATAAAGAAGCAAGAACTAATATTAAATCCATAACATAATGCAAAGCGGTTGAGAGTTCTGAATAACAAGGCATCACTAATGGGTTTTTGTTGTAAATTAAAATACATTTTGCATAAACACCCTCGATGCAGAAATTTTCTAGGAATAAATTGACGGGAACCTTTTCATGGGTCATTGAAATCTTATGACATGTCAATAGAAATGTTCCCATGAAAAAGCTTTCAAACAGTCTCTCGAACATGTACATAGGGTGAGGGAAAACATTGTAACAAGTATTCAGAAACTTATTCTGAAACGAGACGTAGCTGTGACTGGGCCGATGGCTGGCCATGCGTCATACTCGTGAACTGGTGCTACTTGTGGTGACTGGTCGTACTTGAATTCGTGTATGCGGTGATGTTAGTTGTTTCGACTATGTATTTGCGTGTTATTCCCACGACAATGTAAGTGCGTGCTCCTATTTCACCATGCCTCCTGCTGATAGAAGACAAATCTTAGTTTTTAATTTATTTTATTATTATTTATTACTTAAGATGGAACATGGGGTAGTGGTTGCAGCTCCTTACAAACGTTGTGTTAAAAAAAATAAACTAGGTGATTAAAAAGAGTGGCGGTAGTAAATGTAAATTTAGAATTAATTTAACTACTTTTTTGACGTTCATAAGTGTACTTGTTTACCTATATGAATAAAGTTATTTTCGGTGTATATAGTCATAAGTATTTAAAAAAAAATATTGGTGTATATTATTTATTTATCTTATTGTAAACACATTTTATGATTGTTTATTATTATTATTATTCTTATTATAATGTTTCTTTGCATAGATGTAGTTTCTTGGGATCCTGAAACAACAATTTGTTTTTAATAGCGTTGACTTTGTTTCGCAGTAACAATTTAGTTTTTGTCATCAATAATTTGTTTAATGTTAAATTTCAGTTCTTTTTGTCTATTAAAGTACTTACTTATGTTTTCTGTTTAATATATATTGTTTATCTATGTAATCTGTTTTGGCTTTGTTTGTCTCAGTATTTTTTATTATATGTATGTTAGCTGTAAGACTACTAATAAATAGATATATATATATATATATATATATATATATATACTTCGCGTCTTGATTGATTATTTTGCGTAAGACTTAACCTAACCTACCTAACCTCACCTTCCTGAATAAAAAATAATAATTCATTTAACGTTTTCGATACTAATGACGTCACATACGGTTTAAACAGAAATAATACGTGTTCCTATTTAAACACCATTAGAATACTGCGTCTAGACCCATCCTTCAGCGTCCTCAAACAATTAATTGAAACCCAAGTATCTCTACATTGCTGTGACAAGCAATTTTAAACTTTATTCTTACATCATAAATGTCAAATTACCAACAGAGATCCACTTACAGTGCACACTTAAATGTGTTGTTCAAATTTAAGTCCTGTGATTTATGAAACAAGGTTTATTATTGGACATTTCGGATTAAGTGACAAATTCTCTGTTAATAATGATTCTTGAGATCGAAAGGCCGATTTGTGAGATTTTAGTAGATTTTGAGTGGTATGATTAACGTTAGGATAAATTGTAACAAAACCGAACTCAGTGTTTATGCTTTGAGCATCATAGTTCTCGTTTCAATTTATCTTCGAACCCATGCGCTTCATAATTACGCCTGTCACTATCATGTCTTTTTTTGATAGAACAGTGGGCAGAAAAGATGCTCATCTGATGTTTAGTGATGCCTCCCATGGACACTCTCATTGCCAGAGGGCTCGCGTGTGCGTTGCCGGCCTTTTAAGAATTGGTACGCTCTTTTGTTGAAGGACCCTAAGTCGAATAGGTTCGGAAATACCCCAGTGGGCTGGTTCCACAAAGTGGTGGTGCGCGGCAAAAACTACCGAACAAATACCGAATTTCGTGTAGTACCGAGAGAATGAAAATTAATTAAAATGTAATTTATTTATTAAACATACAGGGTTCCAAAGATTATAATCGGACAGTATCTCGAAGAAGTCTGATTATATATAAAAAGTTATTTGTCATTTATTTTATAGAATAGGGGGCAAATGAGCCTACGGGACGCCCATGGACATGGACACCCATTTTGTAGTGGGTGTATTAAAACATATTTACTGTATTAAAACATATTTACTGTGTTTGCCTGATAAAGGGTGTAATTAGTTTAATTGTTTTTATTTTGTTTGTTTCTAGATGTGATTTATATTGTAATGCCTGTTGGAAACTTTAAACTACTAACCTGATAGAAATAAAACTTGTTGATGGTGACGTTTTGGGTGCTGTTCCATAGAGTTGCATTCTCGTCTATGTATAGACTGCAGTTGTCACAGACTTCTTCCATGCCGGATTCACATTTTGTTTTTTATCTGTGGACAATCGTAATTTCAAATCAAGATTCAGATTTAACACTTGAATTTTAATAAAAAAAGGTTGATATCAACAAGTACTTTAGTTTAATATACATATATTGTATTGAGTTCATATAATTTTTTATTAGTATTATTATTATTTATAATACTTTATTACCTTATACAAAAACATATATATAAAAAAAAATCAAAAGCAGGTTACATAAGTTACATAAGGCAACGGGCGGTCTTATTGCTAACAAGCGATTTCTTCCAGGCAACCCTAAATAATAAGTTGTTTATATTATTCCCTACACAACTTTGATCCTTGATTAAATAAATTTATTTGGCTTCGCTTCCACTCCCTAACTTTTTAGGGAGTGCACAGGTATTGCGACTGCGGAAGAGTTGCTGCATCTCGCACAGGACATGACACAGGTCTACCTCCAGTGAAAGACAGGCACTAAAAGAAGAAGAAGAAATAAAATTACAGCTTTTTCTTTCTGTGCATTTAAAAAAGCATTTGTGCATGGATGCACGAAAAGTGTTGTCAGCTATACAAAGTTAAATTTGCTGTATTCATAAGTGTTACCTTACGATATATTTTCCAATTAATGTAATTGTTCGTACAAGAGTTTTAGGATTGAAATGGCATCGTAACCCCAATACGATAAAACGATTTAGGTTTCCCTCACTTTGTATCGGATACTAGAACGAAATGCTTTCGATAAAGGCACGGGCGAACCCTTATAACGTGTCTAGGTTCCAGACTCATACTGAAAACGGTTGTGGTGCCATAAAAATAATGTATGGCCTTCCCTACGTTAGGCGTAGAACGTAAAAATTTAGCACTCAACTTGTCTTGAAACACATTGAAATAAAACATCTTTAGCTTTATTTTATAAGTGTGTAAATACATTAAAACCATATATAATAGATTGTCTTATCTATTAAAAACAAGAGGACCAAATTAGTCTACTTTGGTAAAAATTTTGTGCATATTCGGCGTTAATATTTCAAAATTTAAAAAAAAATACCGACATAAGGACGTATTCTTGGTCATTTAAAAATGGTATCGTTATGTCCAATAGTAATCAGTCGACTCGATGTCGTAGAACATGTTCATTACGGTGAAAAACATTCATTGTGTATATGTAATATATTCGCGATTATTTTACTATTTATCCTATAGTCATGATTATATAGTTATAACAAGATACGGAATAAAAAAAAACATACTATATACATTTCATATTATGAATCAATTGAATTCAAATAAACAAATTTGAATTGATTCATTTTATTTGAGGTCTTTTCTTGACGTCGAACCGAGAATAAGTATTTATTCCAGGTTCGTTGACCTGGCACAAAAACGTAAGCCTGCAGGAAATATTCAAAAGCGACATGTCACTGAGCCTTACAATTAAGGTTACCTGTCTTGCCTTATATTCCTTTGTCAAACATGAAAAAACTTAAAGATATATGATTATACGTCAATATGTATATTTGATGCCTGGAAGTAAGAATTTAGAGTTTGTAAGCACCCTGCCTTAAGATGACGATAAGCAAAAATAGTATATTTGCTCATGCTTTGAGCAGTTATGGGGCTTAGAAGAGCCAAACAGAGCAGCATAAAGGATTTATAGTAGCCGTAGATACAATATAATTTTCATACAAGTATTTTTATATAAGACTAGCTGACACGGCAAACGTTTGTTTTGCCATGTATATTATTTCTACGAAACATTTTTTTAGTTAAATAAAAATAACTACCTAAAATAATTAAAAATAGGGGTTGATCGTAGAGTGGTAAAAATTAGGGGTTGTATGTATTATAGTATGCTGTATCATAATAAAATAAAACTAAAAAACATCTAAAAAAAATTTGGGGTGGACACCCCTTCACTTAAGGGTTTGAAAGATAGATAGTAGCTGATCCTCAGACTTACTGAATATGGATATAATATTTCATAAGAATCGGTCGAACCGTTTCCGAGGAGTATGGGAACGAACATTGTTACACGAGAATTTTGTATATTAGATTAAAGTAAGTAGCATTAGTTTGTATAAACAAAGCTAGGCCCTTTGAAACAGATTGTGTGATGATAGGGTCACCGCGAGGACCTTGGTTATTAAATTAAAAGCACTGATGAAAACCCTTTCATCTCAGTCCACAAAAACGACGACACATGATTACCCTAGACCAGACGAAACATGTTCCAGTTAGGTAATTAGCGCTGAATTTTGACCGACCTATAATCGTATTAAAAAAATTAAACATCAATACATAATGTGATTACTATTAGGTTTAGGTATTGATTTATTATAATAATAAAGCCTTTATTCACTAATCAAATACATACATTTACGTCAGTTAAACCTAACCATACATTTTATGTATATTTATTTATCTGATTTTAATATTTTTATAGCACCCTAGTCATCATATCACACAATTTATTATAGTATAATGTAAATTTATCGAAATATAAGGATTATTTATAAAGTATAGTGTATTCGTTAGACGGTTGCACAAAAGTGACCATCAAACCAGGTTTTTTAAATATCTTCATAGCTAAGCTGTAAGATATCTATGATAAGGCGTGGTGTTTCCATTTTAATAAAATAAATGACGGCGTGTATCTTTATAACATTATTTCTAGAATAGTATCTATTAACTATTTATGTAATTATATAAAACTATATTATAGGATTATCACAGAACACCATCATGATACTTATGTTTTGATGTTTATTTAAGATTTTAATCAAATACCATTAAGCGACGGAACCGCCGGATTATCTACCATAATCACTTAAGTCGTTAATGCATTTACTTTCGCGAAATAATACATTTAAGTAGCTATACGGATTACGCGAAATTAATATAAAACCAAGTAATTCAACATTTAAATTATTGATTATTGATTTGTATTGAAAACGTGGTTTAAATAGAAAGCATAATTTACCGTTTTGATATTTAAATGTTTTCGTAACAAACGGAATACCTTCCAATTTGTACTATAATTTATATCACACGTAATATCTCATTCATTAGATATATTAGTAGATCTTCTTATCTCTTATTTTTCTTAGTTGGCATTCATACGGCGTCAAAACAATACTTAATAACCATCCGGGAAACTATTACACATTTGAATAAGAACAGGTAATTAAAAAGACTCTGTAGTGGTATTCTTCTTGAGGTCTCAACCTAAGTTACTAAGTTACTAAAACCACCACAGCTAATAAGCTTTTACTGAATCTGCGTTTCTTACCGAAGCAGTATGTATCGCGTGTATACTGTATATCTTAATATATATATAAATTACTTGTCACGTTGTTTGTCCGCTATGGACTCCTAAACTACCGAACCGATATCAATCAAATTTGAACACCGTGTGCAGTTTGATCTAACTTAAAAGATAGGGCAGCTTACATCTCAATTTATACCTGTATTATTTTATTGCAAAATATTTGTTTATTATTTAATAGTCACAATTCTAACAGATGGCGCTGTGTTGAAAGTACCAACGTTTCACATAAGCTACAATTTAATGGCATAACCACCAATAAAGCATGGTGGTCTCCATGACTGGTGTTCTCCTACCGTTTCTCTTGAATGGTTTACTACTATGTAATATAACAAAAACCTTAGCCACAGCAACGCTTGGCCGGTCTGCTAGTATATTATAAAAACTACATTTTAGGTAAGCGACATTATTTTTTTGAATACCGAACGTCAGATCAATCATTATATCGTACTTACATGGCATATCAAATACTCAAAAATAATAAATATTATTATTATTGTATAAGGAAACAAAAGAGGAATTTAATCAACGTTTTATAATAAGTTAGTACTACATTATACTTCGAAACTACAGAATTTTAATCTCGGGATTATAAAATGCAATTCAAAGGCACTGACCGTTTTATGTCAAAGATTAACATTACACTACGGAATTTGTATGCTGCCCGCACGGGCGCTCCTTGTGGAACCAGAAATGAATTTTCATATAGGAGTATTCAAAGCGTTATTATACGTAAAAAAACTAAATTTTTAAAACTACGACGTTTTAACATGTTTTAATTATCTTGCAATCTTACTGCATCAGTAAATTTCCAATTAAATATAACGGGAACTTCTTTGCAATATTAAATTACTAGCTGACTGGGCAAATGTTGTTTTGTCATACTTATTATTCCTACTAAAATATTTAAAAGAGAATTTTTATGCTTAGATGTAAGGATTTGTGGTAGTAGGGTGAAAATTAAGGGATATTTGTATTTTTAACACCAAAATATGTCGCTATTAAAGATGATTGATATTTAAGTTTGTGCCCCAGACCCAAAAAACCCAATTTTTTGTTTGAATAGTGTGTAGATCCGTAAGACCTTATGAAGAACTGTCGTACATGTCTGTCTGTTTATTGATTATTGACATAAAGTATTTTATGCCCATATGAAATATAACAATAATGAAGAGGTCGCTAAAACTCTTGTTAAAACGTACATATCTTTATGGCCAGCTAGAGGATTGTGTCATAAATACAAGATTTTAATATGATAATATTTTATAATACAATCCGAATCCAATTTTTTCCGTAGATTGTTGCCCTAAACATTTATCGCAAATAACTATTCATGAAAAAATTCTTCATATCACGCTGAATGGACTTGGGAACTAACATAAAACTGAATGTGGAGATGAAGGTTGATGATCCAGAGGAAGCTTTTGTGTTTTGAGTTCCATAGTAACAATGTTCTAAGCATGTATAATACGAACAACATCAATAGAAATAGATTTATAATTCTTAATTAGAATTCACTTTTAATGAATTTTATTTAACTATTCAAGAAACAGTCATCTACTAAATGTAGTTTTTCCACTTTAAAGAAAATTGATATTAATGCAATAAGTGGTTTTTTCTTAACTAGAGGCTTCGCACGACTGCTTTTGGTTTTTTAAAATATTTAAAACGATTTAAAA